TTCTTTTCCAACATTTTCTGTGAGCGATCTTACACAGGCCTGTACAAGTTGACGGCTGTAACATATTAATTAACAGTTTTATGGGGGGTTGCGTTATTGCCATCAACTCCCTAGACAAAAGCACTGCAAAAAATGCCATATTGCCGTGATAATTCCATATAGATTGTAGCAGTAAATGAACTGTCACAGCACATTTACTCACCCGTATATATATATATCTATGTGCTATGACGCAGACGCGATTGTTCTTCATGATTTAATGTAGATGTTTGTCAGTCAAACGCCAGCAAAGAGGTCCTGATGATGCGGCATGCTATAAAACTTCTGACGGTCAAGCTTGACAGGGTCGCCGTCATTTGTCAATTATCATATAGCAAAATATGACATAATAAATGTCCTGTGTTCAGAGTAAAAGTGAATAGACAACACGTGACCTGCATTCCCCTATAATTACCAGCATGTCGGCAGTAATTACTGCGCCTGTGAGAGACCCTGGTATTTCACAGTTTTCTTTGGATGTTTGGTCACCGTTGCATCAGAACTTTTGCCTGTTACAGACGACATCTTTTCCGACATAACATTTGGAAACTACGGACGTGATGTTTACCTTCTATACGCGAATACGACCTTAGATAAGAAGTGCGTATAATTACTAGCCTGAGGATCGTCATTAGACAAGAAAGCAACATTTTGTAGGGTGACCCATTTTTGGGATAGAAACAACTTTAGAAGTTTGATTAGCGCTGCAATCACAGGAATCGGTGGCATACTGTATATGTATGTGTGAACATGACTTACATGTTGACATTTTGGTAATCAAGTCTTTTTGGCGATGATGTTTTCTTGTTTATTTTTTTGCGCACGCTCTATCCAGACAGACACTGAGGCTAGAATTTTGGTCAAACGTATAATTATAATCAACCTGTTCATTAAGCCACAGGCTAGAAGATGGATCTTTTCTTCGCGTGCGCAGGTAGGCTTCTTGGAAGGGGCCTCTTGTGGCGTTTTTGTCTCGTTTCGACATTTTCACACTTAGGCAGACATACGTATTCTGTTCGGACGTATCACATTTTACTCCAGAGTTTGAGCGAGTTTGTTTCCCGACTGCTTCACGCTACTGCGGTATGTACAGGTTATTTACATCACTCGTATCTAAAATACACAATAAGAGAGACAAGAAAAATTATCGATGCAATTTTTTATTTATTTTCCCCACCAGCTGGATTTATAAGCCCCTCTCAATTGGTACTAAACAACGTTTGCTACTCATTCTTCAAAGGTTCAAATGTGCGGCTCGACTGAAACACGGAACCCCCAGCTTTACATCCCATTCAAGAGAATGTCAAGAATAAAAACCTGTGAACTCATTTCCACCATGTCGAGGAAGGAAATATGTGTAAAGTGCATTTTTCCGAGTCACAACATTGGGACATGATAGGGATTCGAATCCAGAACCCTTAGAAGTCAACATTTACCACAGGACCACTTTGTCACAAGAAAGTCAGGGTGTATCAAGTTTCTCAACTGTATGGCACTGTTGAGCCACATTTAAGATGTAAGGGCTAACTTTGTTGTAAGTTGCTCTGGAGTAGGAAAACTGTTATTTTCAGTTTTCCGATATACCCTAGAATCTAGATCGGTGAGTTGACAAGTTGACCCTAGTCTTTTTTTTGGGATCGACCGCAGGCAAGGGACATAAAATTTAAAATATAACATCTGAATTTCATACCTCCCAAGCCCCTTTTCACGCAGAAGCTATTTCTTACTGAGTAAATCGGGTGAAATATTTGTCCGTCCCCCAGGAAGAAAAGGGGGCGGGTCCTGGTGACAGCCCTGGTCCTGGTGCGTGTCTATTTTACGCACATTTGTCTGGCAAATGTTACCTCTCTAGTTTTTTATTGGTTCGGCTTACAACAGCCAGGGTTACCCAACAACGCAGCCGCGGTCGGCTTGTTCTCCATAATTCAATAAGACAATTTTACGAGCACATTTGTTAGTCCAACACTACTCAAATCCTGTGTTGTTGAAATGCCTAATATAGTATGCTGTTGAGCATAAAACGATGAGGTTACTTTCTTGCTTCAACCGAATCTGTAATAATGTCGTTAGAATTGTTAATTAGATTTGTGTACCTGCTATAGCTATGGTACGGTGTAAAAGAGTAACTTAAGGATCACACTAAGGAGCGGGAGGGGGGCGAGATCTACGGAGACGGGAAGAAATCGCTAGCGATCTTATCCCCACTGGAGGGCGAAATCGCTGTGGGCGAGATCGCTGTGACACCGGCCTCCCCTACAATTACTCAATAGTAATAGGTTCGGTAACTCCCTCGGGCTCGACTCCCCCGTAGCAGAACTAGCGAAAGATCTAGAAACACATCCACGCCTCCCACCTTCTGACATGTAGACGGCTTATATCATTGATGGAATGGCCATGGTACAGTCGGTATATCAGGCACAATAGACTGGATACCAGGCTAATGAATGCTTGATTAGGTTGCGTAGTGCAAGTGTGCAATCGGGCATTTCGAAACTTGCATCAAGACAACTTATGCAGTAGGATCTATACTCTCATCCACAGTAAAAGTACATAGGTAACGTTTCACTTGTGCTGCGACGCCGAGGCAAGTCCATACCTACTTTAACAGCTTCTAATTCATACACTTGTTTTCCACTTCTAATAGCTTACCCAGCAGAACAATGTCGGACCATGAAGACCTCGAGTGGGAACAGACTGGGGACACCCGCGGCACCTTCCAAATGCAGTGCTCCGATCTAAAAAAGGACGGCTACGTGATGCTGGAGGGGCGCCCCTGCAAGATCGTGGAAATGACCACTTCCAAAGCTGGAAAGCACGGCAGCGCCAAGGTAAAGCACCTTTAAAAACATACCTGAATGTACCGTGGCCGATAGGGACAAGTCTGACTTTTGTCTTCCGTACACTGCCTTTTAATTTGTCTTCCCTAAACTGCCTTTTGTCTTCCCTACACTGACTTTTGTCTTCCCTACACTGACTTTTGTCTTCCCTACACTGACTTTTGTCTTCCCTACACTGCCTTTTGTCTTCCCTACACTGACTTTTGTCTTCCCTACACTACTGACTTTTGTCTTCCCTACACTGACTTTTGTCTTCCCTACACTGACTTTTGTCTTCCCTACACTAACTTTTGTCTTTCCTACACTACTGACGTTTGTCTTCCCTACACTACTGACTTTTGTCTTCCCTACACTGACTTTTGTCTTCCCTACACTAACTTTTGTCTTCCCTACACTACTGACTTTTGTCTTCCCTACACTGACTTTTGTCTTCCCTACACTAACTTTTCGTCTTCCCTACACTAGCTTTTGTCTTCCCTACACTGACTTTTGTCTTACCTACGCTGACTTTTGTCTTCCCTACACTGACTTTTGTCTTCCCTACACTTCTGAATTTTGTCTTCCCTACACTGACTTTTGCCTTCCTACGCTGACTTTTGTCTTCCGTACACTGACTTTTGTCTTCCCTACACTGACTTTTGTCTTCCCTACACTGACTTTTGTCTTCCCTACACTGACTTTTGTCTTCCCTACACTGACTTTTGTCTTCCCTACACTGACTTTTGTCTTCCCTACACCGACTTTTGTCTTCCGCACAGACTTTTGTCTTCCCTACACTGATTTTTGTCTTCCCTACACTGATTTTTGTCTTCCCTACACTTACTTTTGTCTTCCCTACACTGACTTTTGTCTTCCCTACACTGACTTTTGTCTTCCCTACACTGACTTTTGTCTTCCCTACACTAACTTTTCCCTACACTGACGGTATGAATGTGTCCTCCTGAACACCGCCGAACTCCCCCAAACCGTGGGAGTAGGTCGGGTGTTATATAGGGTGGGTTGGGTTAGTTGGTGTTCTGCCAAGTCAGCTACTGTCCGGCTACACAAGCCACCAGCGTTGTAAAAGGGGATCAGGTTTAAATTTGCGTGGATGAAACAATTCTGTTGTAGAATAGAAACAGATTTGAAACGCGTAGACTCATTAACCAACAAGAAACTATTACTAGTATTTTCACCAAGAATGATTGGTGTGTGTGAATGGCAGTATTCAAGAATTGTTAAGATATTTGGTATGTTGGGCTCGACGTATAAACTATTAGGTTTTAGTCCCCTCATGTGTTTTATTTCGACTGTAACGTTAACAGAACGTATGATATCTTGTATCTATTTTGTACTTTTATACAGTCATTGTCTTCCACACAAATTATGGCCGTGTGTAAGGAAGGACAATATAACCATGTATTGTCTGTATGTCTACATGCAGTTTTAGACCTTACGAAAGTCGCTGTACTTTTTGTTGCGTCAATGAAGTTCATTATAATTAAATGCTGGATAATTACTACACGGATATATATCTTATTCTTGCTTTAGGTTGACTTGGTAGGAACCGACATCTTTACTGGTAAGACGTACAAAGGTGTCTTCGGTTCTAATGACGACATGGATGTCCCAAACGTGAACCGTACGGAGTACACGGTGAGGCCCTTACCTTCACATAAGGCCACAGCAAGTAAATTTTATGGATGTCATCCTCCTCAGAGTCCAAATCTAATGCGAGCGGGAAAAAAAACAAGGCGGGTCAAACAAACGAGGTTCCTACATTTTAAAAGTTTGACTCAATCATTGTACAAATGGTTTTTATTCAGTGGAAACATCACATATACACAGCCAGTATCACATATCACTGCATCAAAGTAATAAACAAAACATTAACTCAGAAACTTTTCTTGTTTCCTCTCTTCATAGTTATCTGCCATCCACCTTCCGGCATAGCAACAGACATCTTTGCCCATTTTCGGCATGTTGACCACTGTCAGAAGGCAACAAAATTTTTTTTTTTTTTCCAAAATCTGTGCCCGCCCTGATGTCATCCATAGAAATTACTTGCTGTGGCCTAATATACAAAACAAAGAAACCCACATTCACATTGTAGGTAGGAATGTACGCTAGTTTACAGGCCAAAGACAACCTTGTCGTAAGGCAAGAAAAGGAGGTTGAGGAGATTATTTTTACAAAGCAGAATTTATCACTGTCATCACTTTAGATAACGGAGAAATGTTGTTTCGAGACAACGCAGACATTTTCAAATTGACACATATTACAGTATAGATGTGAGAAGTTCGGTATCTGTATCTTTCTGCAGTATTACTCATACATGTCTGCCTGTACCTAACCCGTATTTGTCCATGTACTGGGTATATGCAGATTAGTGCAGGTAAAGTTGGAGCTGTGCAGGTATTTCTGATGTCTATACCTTTACCTAAGACGTATGTCTATGTGCTGGGTTCTTAAATACATGAAAATTTGGATTTCCCATTAACTGTTACCTCATATTAAAAAGATACTATAGCTAGTAACATGGTTTCGTGCAGTTTTAAAATGATTCGTATACACGTCCAAAATTCTGAGAGGTGCGGGTAATTTTTAACGTTACCTGCACCAGTGCTGTATGCAATAATTTCGCGTTATCAAATGTTGGGAAAAGGGAAATAATAATGAATGAAGAATGAAAGACCTTCATTGTACATTTTTGCTCAATTGCCAACTAAGTACAGGTCACAGCAAAAAGCGATGGTAGACTAAAATATATCTATAGTAAAACTACATTTATACAAGTTCTGCTTCTTCTCGCTTCTTAAGACAGTTGTAAATGTAAGAACAGATGGAGCTTATAGTACGAGGATTATCGTGTTTTATGAGAAAAATTCTAAAACAAGGGAGATAATCTTGTATACAATTAAAAAGAATATTTGTTTATCATATAGAGTACAGTCCATAATAAAGTGACTCTCGTAGTCAATCTTATTACTAGTAATAAATTATATTGAAAGCTATTTTATATATTATATTAAGCTATGTGATAGAAGTGACAATTGTATTCTGTTGTTTCAGCTGATCAACATTGAGAAAGGCTTCTTGAGTCTAATGGACGACAATGGAGATATGCACGATGATGTCAAACTGCCCGACGGTGATTTGGGCAAGGAGATCTCAACCCTCGTTGAAGATGGGGAAAACCTTTTGGTAAATCCTACTCTATATTGTCTGGCAGATGATTTCAACATTTAATCAAATAACTAGATGGATTTGTTAAGCGTTCGGGGGACAAATTCGTAAATGTGTGACATGGGCTTAAGCTTGGTTTTATATTTTGGTTTTCTACTGGGCCATATGCACATATCAATTCATTGATTTGGCCGAAGATCAGTTCAATTACAACCTCCTTCAGTTATTACAAAGTAGTAGATGCTACTTAAAACGTCTGGCAGGGTTTAAAATCATACTGCACTGGTAAACATTAGTTGCTTGAGTATCTATTTTCCTGTGTAACTCGTTACCTAAATGTATAACCTTCACATGCCCGTAGCCAGGATTTTGAATGGGGGGTTCTTCCCACTGCTTGAGGGGACCTCGAGCGCCGAAGGCACGAGGTTCCTAAGGGGGTCCTGAGGCATGCTTCCCCGAAAAATTTCGAAAAATGAACCTTCTAAAATGGCATTTCGTGCATTTTTGAGAGGATTTCCAAGAAAAAATCAGAGATAAATTTTTATTCAATGACAAAGGGAGCAGTTTTTCTATGATTCCAGTCCATCTTTTCAAGAAAAAATAAGTAGACCAAAAAGTGGACCTTTACATAAAAAGTGGACCAAAAAGTGGACATTTGAGCCTTGTGGGGGGGTTCCCTGGCTACGGGCATGCTCCATCGATAAAAGATGGAATGGTTTATAAGAAAGGCTTCAGTAGCGCTCTAACTGTCACTAGCTTTGATATTGGAAGTCTAATTCAGATCTAGATTTGATCCAGATCAT